TTAAACTAGCATGCCAGAATCACAATGCTTGTTAAAAAAACTTGCATGCTTTGTTTTTTTGTATTCAGCATGTCTGGTTTTAAAATACCTGTGAAATTTAGTGAGTCCCAAAGACCTGTTTGCCAATAGTATTTTATACAATACACTATGCATTGAGATGATCATTATTTCAACACATGTAAAACCAAAATTCAGATAGCTGACATCATACTTTGGTCTTTTATTAGTTCCTGTTTTTTCACTTTGGATTTTGGGGAACAAAATGTTGATTGTTCATCCTTGTTTTGAAGTATGACAATATCGCATTCATTTTCATTAACTATGATTATTCTATCAGACGTATTTGATTGTTTTAAAGCTTTTTTTTCAACCACAAGTTCATGATTATTTATTTTAATAATAATTATTAGAAATACTGACAAATTTCAAAAAAAATATTTATATAAGGAAGTGAGTTTAGTTACATGTTATGAATGCATTTCTTTACACAGATGCAGCAAGAGTGAAGCGAAATGATGACATGAGCAGTGTTGGTCATTGAGAAACAGGTTTCAGAGTGTTTGCTGTAAAGTGCTTCTTGAGTGCAGCCTATGCTTACTAGTATTTTTGCACTGCTACAAAACTAGTCTAGTAATTGTGAAGACACTTTGCTCCAACAGTTCTGTTTAAGCATGTCCTAATATATCAGCACAAGGCTATTTTGTTTCATTCATCCAGACAATGCATGATATTTCTTTGCTTCTCTCTCTTCTTTAACTGATGTATTTAAGACTAAATTGCTTAATGACATATTAAATCATTACATTACTACATAACTACTTGCCACACTGAAATTACTTAAAAAACTACGCACTTGGAATCAGTTATGATCTGATAACGAAACATCAAAAGAATATTGGAAAAAACAAACGTTTTTGAACCCCTAATGGGCTCTGCATCAGGTTCTTAACCATTCCTAGATGGCTATTCGATTAACGAATGCCATTTAAATAACAGTTCAATCGTAAATTTGAAACAATTTACAAAAAACTACGTTGTGCATGCGCAACGAGCCAGCCTGCCCAGATACTATGAGTGGCTAGAGCCAACTGTTGCCAGGCCAATGACAAGATCATCTCCTCTAAAATTTATGCACGTGGTTGTGATGGAGAATTTAAAGATGTGCATAGCTTCTAACCATTTGTTCATTGGGAGGCATAGCAAGGAGGAGATTGGCCTGGGTAAAGTCGGCTACTATGTCTGGATCTGTTACATAAGTAGCGAGGGCTGTGGAAGTTCTCCCGTGACGAATATCTGCTTGATGTTTTTGTATTCTGAAGCCCATGGACCGTTTAGTAGACCTATATATCAGGTCCCTATTGCATCTATTATCCCTTAAATGGACACAATAGTCTGGGGCATCTGCTGGGGTTAGGAGGGTCCTTTCTGTTACATAAGATGTTAAATATAGTAGAACACCTCCTGAAAGCAATTCATACCTGGCGTTTCCTGGCTACCTTGGCTTATACAGATCTTAGGTATGGGTTAAAGGTGATGGGGATGCATTCTCTGTCTTCTGGTTGGTTATCAGTCTGCTGGTCTACCTCTGTGCGTTTTCCAAATGTATACATTGAAAATGTATCAACCTACGTATATGTTTGTGAAAATCGTGTTCTGCGGCTATGCATTCTATAGACACTAGTTCGGTATCGCAAACCTGGGTGTTAGAAGAATGTGTAAAGGCTCTTCTGATTAAGACTTTAAAGGCCACAGTCTTGTATGAAACTGGATTGCAGGACCCTACTGGAATGTATGATGACATAGATCCTGGCTTATGATACACCGAAGCGTGGATGTCCAAGCTTTCGACTCTAATATTTACATCTAGGAAGTGGACTTTGGTGGGGTCGGATTGTTCTATTTCCAGTGTCAACTTGTAGGGATTATTGTTAAAAGAATCAACCAAGGTTGTTACGTTCAGTATGGTTTTCCAAAAAATAATCATCATCAATGTACAGTACCTCTTATATAATTGGATGATGGGGAGGAATTGAGGGAGGACTTTGTTCTCTAACTGTCACACAACCATTTCACACAGGTTCCCTGAAATTAAGTTGCCCATGGGTACCCCTACCTTGTGTGTAGATAGCGCCATTAAATTGGAACACCAAATTATAGCAAATTAAGTGTGCCATTTCTAGCACTTCATTGTGTAATGCGTGATTCCCGACAATATGAAATAAGATGTCCCTTAGTGCACAGAAAGTGGGAGGGAGCTCAATGGTGGGGTAGAGGAACTTAAGTCCAATACTGCGATGTAACGAGGGAGGTGACTTCTTTCAATTGTGTTATAAGCTCCACTGGGTTAGCGATTGTGTAAAGGTATCCCTCCAGGTGAGGAGTGAGAAGGGTGTGCTTGGCCTTCTCTAGCTTATGTGTAGACACTCTTGCTTTGTCTATGATTGGGCGGAGCTGTTGGCCTGGTTTATGCATTTGCAAAGGCTAACAATTTAGGGATGTCAGAGAAGTCAGCGGCTAAGTTATCAAGGGCTAAATGTTCAGCAAGATTGGTACGGGCGAAATACTTCACTCTGGAATTTAGCTTATCGATAAAACTCTCTTCCACTCTATTGCAGTGGGTAAGGGTCGAGTTATAAACTCCGTAACGTAACCGTATCCGTAGCCGTAAGCGTATCCGTATAGCATGGTTATAAAGTCCGTATCGTATCCGTATGGCCGTACCGTATTCCATAAGAAAAGTTTGGATCGATCAAACTTTTACGGTAGCAATACAGAAAATTGACCAACTGTGCATGCGCTAATCGTAGTCGATGATGATAGTTGTTGCCAGATCAAGCAAAAAGTAACAAATTGATTGAAAAGTAACTTTTGACTGACAATGCTACTTCTAAATAATATAAAATTTTAAGATAAGAATTACTTTGGTCATAAAAAAATAGAAAAATGATAAAATGAATAAATAATTATAGTGTTAGATCTGGCAATAACTATAGATGATTTTGCGCATGCTCACAATGGACTGCTCNAATTGATTGAAAAGTAACTTTTGACTGACAATGCTACTTCTAAATAATATAAAATTTTAAGATAAGAATTACTTTGGTCATAAAAAAATAGAAAAATGATAAAATGAATAAAAAATTATAGTGTTAGATCTGGCAATAACTATAGATGATTTTGCGCATGCTCACAATGGACTGCTTTGTAAACCGTAAGAAAAGTTTGTTCCCTTACGGTTACGGATAAGCCCTTACGGTAGTTTATAACTATTGCTATAGATATCCAGTGTAGCAAACATTTACGGATACGGTTACGTTACGGAGTTTATAACTCGACCCTAAGAGATTAGTATTCCTTTAGGCCCTTTCATAAGTGTCATGCTTCATGAGAAGCATGGCCTTGGTTTTGTCGGCTGTGACAAGAGTGACATTGTTTAGTTGCATCCAATGCACAATGTGTGTTAGATGCAACATTTCAAATTTACAATCAAACTGTTATTTAAACTGCATTCATTAATCGAATATCCATCTAAGAACAGTTAAGAACCTGATGCAGAGCCCAGAAGGGGTTTGAAAACGTTTGTTTTTCCGATATTTTTTCAACGTTTCATTATCACACTATAACTGGTTCTGAGTGTGTAGTTTTTTTTAAATTACATTACTACTGTTTTGTAGTCAATACCTCTATATGTGCTTCTTTATTCAACACTTTCCAAAATAAAGTATTTTACAGTATTGGATAATTAGCTTATGCCATTATTTATTATTAACTAATAACAAAAAATAATGTTTATGCTACAAATACGTTAATTTATTTTTTGATTATTAATTATGAATTTTTATGGAATATATTTTGGGAAATGCCGTTTTAGATAATAATTATGTTTATATAGAGTATTTTTGTAATTATTTTGTCATCTCTGCTGTTGTAAATCTTGTAAAAAAAACATGTTACAATTTCAGATTAAATGCATTCATTTTTGAGATTAGATGTGCTTTTGCCTTCTCTTTGTATATCAGATGTAGATTACTTTTTTATAATAAAGAATCATATGATATTGTTTTGATTTGAGTTCAAATGGAAACACTAAAACATAAAATCCCAATTTTATAATTCCTTATGTAAATTATATATATTAGATATAATTTTATTGCTTTTTGTGTAGTGTGTATGGTATGATGCCTGTGCAAGAAAACTATTGTCACATTAAGTATCTTATCCATTCTTCACAAATGCTTTATTTCATGGGAAAGTTCATAGCATTTACTAATTTTTTCAATGTTGTGTATTTTGTATGTTTTGGTTGTTTGGAATCACTATTTCACAATAAAGGTTTAGTAAGTGCGATTTTATCAGAATACCGGTATTCAGATTAGAAGATTTTTGAATCACTATTTATTATTACTATAAAGTGAGGTAAAAGTTTTCATGTGACCAAAAAAAAAATGCAAAAAATATTTCCACTTAACTATAAATTGCAAAAAAATTATTGTTAAAATAGTTGTAAAGAAGCAGATGGAAAACAGGAGATCATTAACTCAGTTAAAAACTTCAGATAAGGAAGCATTAAAGAAATTAAAAGAAATATTTTATTTCTGCAAGCTCTTTTGACGTAAACTGTTGGCATGACGTCCAATCTAAATGTTTAGTATAGTCCAAAATGCATATATTTTTGGAAAATAAATTGATGTTTTAAGGCTGGTTTTTGTCTAAAGACTGTGTAATAAGTCTAGGAATAAAGAGGCTATCATAGTCCTCATAAGTATATTAAAAAAATTATCGTTACTGATTTTAATATCTTAACTTTTTTAAAATATTTCAGTAAGATTTACAAATAATTGCTGTTTGAAATGAAATTGTTCTGAATTTTCTATTAATTAATTGAGAATTTTCATTTATAGGAAATAGTAGATAAATGTATTTTAAGTTAATATAGAAGACTTAAGTATATGTAATTTGGTGTTACTAGTAGTCCTATTAAACATAATTGTATCATGAAAATGTTATTGAATGTGTTAGGTTTTGTATGTAACATTATATTTGAAATAATATACATATATATAGTAAATACTTATAAAACTTTCAATATAAACTGTGTATCTTACATTGCTTTTTCAGATTTTGGCATAGCTGGTTGGTGGGACCTTGAGGATGAATTACCTAAAGAACTCATTGGTAGCGGAGGTTTGAGATCTGAGTTGTCTCATCAACAGCCTCATTCTTCTCGATCTGTGCAATCATCTCAAAATATGCAGAATGGTGAAATTGAATTTTCAAATTTACCTCTTGACAATAATGGTGTTAGCAGTATTAATGCACAACGACATCATCAACTTTCACAACTTCTTCAAAGTAAGCCACCTGCTCCTCATAGTGGAACTGCCCCTCAAAATCATGCAGGCATTCCAAACTCTCAGGGCATTAATAGCCCTATTGTATCATTACCCAATATGAGCAATGTTAAAAGTCCGCATTCTAATAGTCTTTCCTCGCCTTCCAATGCAACTACCAGCAAAGCTGGAACTCCAGTTTCCACATCACCGCATAATGTAAATGTGAATAGTGACAATATGACATTAACTAGTATTTCTAGCAACATAATGAATACTGCATTCAATAACAGTTCCAATGTAACTGGGACATTGAACATGAATAATAATCTATCACTTATGACAAGTAAGACCGGATCTCTAGGTTCTCAAGGAAGTCTTCTAACAACATTGACCAATGTTAGTACTCCCAATAGTCTATCAATGCCATTGCAGCCTTCGCAGCAAGTGCAAATTTCACAGCACAAGCAAACTCATCAAGTTCTTTCTAATTCCATTGTTAATGGTACTCATATGTCCATGGGTAATCCTAGCATACCACGGAATGTGACAACTGTGGCATCTACAATGGCTCATGGGAGTATTTTACCTAATGCAATGCCACCTCATTCCCACCAAAGTGGTATGAGCCATCCTTCTATTAATAATTCACAAGCTTCAACTATAACCATGGTAAAGGTAAGTGTTATATTCATTTAGTTTTTTAATTGTTTATACTTTTTTAGTTATTTAGTTTTTTCTGTACTTTTAAAATTCTGTTTGGTCTTTATATGAATTTCGAATGCATTCAGTTTTATTGCAAGTTTGTCCAGATAATATATCAATAAATTTATATATAGTATATATAAATTTTTGATGATTTTAAAGTGATTCAGTTTGAAAAATGTTTTATTTTCATTGATTTTATATTTGTGCATTGGAATTAATATAAAAAATTTGCTATGTTACATCTCTTCTTTTTTAGTGTTTGTTTCACATTGGTGTAGGGTCCACTTATTTACATGCATTCCTTCATTATACCCTTTCCATTGTTTCCATATTTTTTGTGATTTGGTCAAATCACTATTTTTGGGGCATCCATGAGATTTAGTTTCCCTGGCTAAGTTACATCTAATTTAAATACTATAATAATTCAGGAACCAGTACCTAAGATGCAGAGGAAATGGTATAAATCTGTGCATACACTAAAACAATTACAGCATACTTTATGATGATTGCAAATGTACTAGATCAGCGATTCCCAACCTGTGGTACACGTACCCCTAGGGGTACGCGATAGGTTGTTTAGGGGTACAGAAAAAAGTTAGTTATTATGGCAGAAAAAATAATATATTATGTATCACAAACTAATAGTATTAAAAAATTATTAGATAAAAAATGTTCCTTGCAACAATCACAACTTTATCATACATTTTTTCTTTTAGTTTTTTTTTCTTTAATTTAAAGTTACAATATGTAAAATTAACAATACGATTACTCACTAAATTTCTTAAATGAGGGGTACAATCTAGAGATATGACATGTCACGGGGTACAATCCAGAGATATGACATGTCACGGGGTACGCTAATGAAAAAAGGTTGGGAACCACTGTACTAGATATTTAGTAGATCAATCATATTAAATATACTGAATTTACATTAGGTTGAGTTTTAAGTTCATGCCAGAAATATCATACTAAATAATGATATTACCAAAATATAATATCAGTTGAAAATTGCTATCAACAAGTATAATAATCCTATGCAAATTTTGTGTACATGTAAGAATCATGTAAATGACTTTGCTCTAGTACTCTATGTAAATTGATAGAAAACTTATGATACAGTTCTGATTGTTATGCAAGTGAAGATGGGCAAGAAAGCAGGTACGAGAGAAAGCATTTAAAACAGAAATCTTGAATTTATGCAGCTAATGAAAAACTTATTTTTTTTTGGTAGAACATTATCGAATGCATCCCAATCTACAGTGTTTAATGTAACTATATTACAAGATTATTCTGGTCAGTTCATCTAGGGAAAAAACTATAGGAGAAAATCTGCATCTTTTTCTAGTTGTTTTGAAGAAAATTATTTAGATGGACTGCTTTAAATTACCAGAATACTTTTAAATTTGTCCTATCAAAATGTAGTGATTTGTCAAATATTATGAGATGAAAGGTTTTTCATGCACCTTGTAAGGAACTGATTTTATAAAAATCAATAAGGCAGATTTAATACTATTTGTTGGTTTTAGCTTAAAAACAAGCTTTAAAATAAAAATCTAAAAATGTTGATTTTATTTTTCCCTTTATCTGCCTTTTTATCAGCGATAAAGAACTTACACAAAGGATACTCTGAACAGAAAAAAATCATTTAGTTTTCAGAAAATAAGCTATGCCTTTCGGGTGATTTTTTTTTTTTATATAAATATTTTCACCCCTCAAGGCTATAAAACAAAAATACAATTTTTAGAGTTTATAAAACAATACTATCAATATAAACTTAGAACTGGCCTTCTTCCCTTCTTTTTATAAATTTTCTGTTTATACACCATTGAGAAACTGCTTGTCACAGAATTTATTTGTTTATAAAAATTTATGGTTTTAAGTGTTAATAAAATTTAAGTGTAAAAAATTTTTAGAAATCATACAAAAGAGAGGAAGTAAAAAATAAAATTTAATATCATTCATGGTTGAACCCCATTTATACATTTATCAGTTGCGTTTTTTATTGCAATTATATGTTTAAATTTTTTGCACAGGGTTTCTTTCTCCATTATAAAACATTTGTTATATGTTTTTCATTTATACAATTTCACACTTCTATGCAATATTTTCCAGTATCCTACAGAAGTTTTTTCTCACTTGCCTATTATTTACTTTGAAATGGAAAATTTTTAAGTGATTATTAAAAAGATGAAAGAGAAAATTATGTAGTTACTTTAAAATTAGTCCAAACTGACAATGAATCACTAGCAAAGGTAAAAAGTAAAGCAAATACAGTCAACCCCCCATAACACTGTTGATAATTCTGTTTTATATGCATTCCATGTTGTACAAGCCACTTAGATTTTACAAATACATGAGCTGTTCACAGCTCGGCAAACATATTTGTAAAATATAAATGACTCATACAACATGGAATTCATATAAAACAGAATTATCAACAGTGTTATAGGGGGGTCGACTGTAATACGTAACATGATGTGGTTTCTGATAAATTTATTCATTAGCAAATCATTCTGTCAGTCAAGCATGTTGAAAATTTCATGTTTCCATGTTTTATCATGTGAATCAGTCTTGCTAAGTGAAAAAAAATTAATTTATGGTTTTTTATTTGTTTTCACTATTTACTGTCAGGTGTGAGCTTCAGTATGAATGTTTCTTTACCTGATTGGAGTTTTGGCAGGAGGAGACGGCTGATGTTACATATTGATATATGTGACAAGTTCTTCCAAAAAAAAAACCACAATAATTTAATTAAATAATTTTAGATAAAACTGGAAGAAAAGAATCTGCTTCGAGCAGGATTCAAACCTGCAACTGCTGCTTACTGTGTGGGTTCAAGTCCCGCACAGTAAGTGTCTAGGGTCAGATTCATTTGTAATTTATAATTATTATAGCTGTTATTTAGCCCAGTCTCATACAGCAGTTGTTGTAGATTTATTATAATGTATCAGGTTTAGTAAAGATATTTATATTTGGGTAGCATTCTTCTGGGTAGAAGGTTAATTTTTAAAATTGAAAATTGTAATAAAATTAATAAATTATTAACGTATATTATTTTTTATGACTGTATTTCTTAATTTGAACTTGTGTATGTAAACCATTTTTTTTAGGGTCCAGTTGGAAATCAACTTGGGTTACCATCTAACAGTGGATCATTCCATGGATATAATGCAACAGTTTCAGCTTCACAGCTTGGCATTCCATCATCTGTTGCTTCCATTGCAGTCCAAAGACCTATTACTTCCATGGGAGTTAATATTCCTCCACGTTACCCATCTGGAATTGATACATCATTAACAACAAATGTAAGTAATTGTATTACTAATATATTGAAAGCAAATTGAATATTGTTAATTTATATAAAAATTAAATTGGAAATTTGAATTAATATATAACTAGTAGTTAATTAAATATCAATTAAGAAATAATTGAAAGCTAATATTTGAAAAGTATGAGTAATTTTTGTTAATGCTGTTAATTTAAAGAATTCTATCAATTTTATTAACAGAATTCTTTATAAATAACAGCAATTTTTGCTTTTCTCGAGCTTGAAATGTATGTTCAGCATTAATAAAAGTTACCAAATTGATTAATTTAATGCGATTTTGTTATTTCTTACTCCTGTTTTTAGGTATTCGGTATTCGGCCGAATAGTGATTAAATATTTGGTATTTGGCTGAATACCGAATAGGAACTGAATATTCATTGCATCACTACAAATAATCTTTGCAAACTTCCAAAACATTTTAATTAGTTTTTTTAAAGAGAAATCTCAAGCCTAATTGAAGTTTAATATAGTTTTTTAAATTTGATGATCAATGATTTTGTGCACTCTGGACATCTAGCAATAGTCTTATCACTTTCCAACCTTTCTGCGATATTGTAAACTGTCCTTGCCATCCCCATATCTATTTAAAGGTTAACTGTGAAGCTTCTGTCCTTTTCCTCATGTTGTTTGTAAAATTTGTTAACTAACATTTTTTACTTTTCATTAAGTTGCTCCAGTTTGTTTTGCATTTGGAATATTGTTGCCATGACAACATGAATTTAAATGTACAGAGTCAGAGCAACAATCTGTGTTAGCACCTTCTCAAATTTAAAAAAATATCAAATATGTCTGCCAAAATTGTTAAGGTTTTTAGTTCACACACATTTAATTTTATATTTGATAACTAAATGAACAAATAAAAGATGGCCTACAGATTGTGAACATGTAGTAATGATATTTGATGAATCTTGGAACAAAATTTCACAGAAGCAACAAATGGATATACAGTAGAGCGTCGATTATCCGAATCAATTGGGGACTGGGGTTGTTCGGATAACTGATTATGTACCAAAAAGAATACATTATTAATATAGTATATTAGTATATCCCAATCTAAATATATAAAATTACTTGTCCTGGCTGGCTGACTGACTGATTTGTCATTGCCCAGAGCAAACTGCTGAACCTAGAGGTGAAATTTTGTACACAGAGTATGTTTTGAGAATGCACACTAAGAAGGGATTTTTGGAAATTTCCTCAGGGAGAGGGTTAAGGCTTAACCTGAAGAACGGTTTCTACTGTACTATTTTAGATGCAATTTTTTGTTTTCAACTATATTTANAATGTTTGAAATATGACACACGATAGGGGCGCCTCTAGTGTCGGTTATCAAACGGTTACGGGACGGACGGACGGAAGGACGGACGGACACCTGTTGAATGGGTTATATATATAGATATCCCAATCTAAATATATAAAATTACTTGTCCTGGCTGGCTGACTGACTGATTTGTCATTGCCCAGAGCAAACTGCTGAACCTAGAGGTGAAATTTTGTACACAGAGTATGTTTTGAGAATGCACACTAAGAAGGGATTTTTGGAAATTTCCTCAGGGAGAGGGTTAAGGCTTAACCTGAAGAACGGTTTCTACTGTACTATTTTAGATGCAATTTTTTGTTTTCAACTATATTTAGTTTTCATTTAGTACTTAGGTGTATTAAATTGATAACATTTCAGACATTGTTATAAATATTTTCATATAATATCAAAAGCGCTTAGCAATTAAATAAACAGAAACACAATAACTTTTTTGTTGCCGAGAAATACATATAATTGTAAAAAACAAACGTTTTCAGCCCAATTAACAGGCCACCTTCAGGTTGAAAATGAAAATGGAACCGCCTGCCGTCAGCGTGGAAGTTCATGGTTAAGAAATTTACTAGAAACTTGGACCAGAATTAGTACATTGGAAGATTTATGTTATTTTTTGTTTTATTTTAATTTTATATATTCTTCCGTTATTTTTCTCTTGTAAAATTTTTTGATTTAAAATTTTTATGTTCTATTCATGGAACATTTACGTTCCATTTTCGTTTTCGACCTGAAGATGGCCTGTTAATTGGGCTGAAAACATTTGTTTTTTACAATTATATGTATTTCTGTTTATTTTCATATATTTCGAGTTTTTAACCAAATGTTCGAACCATTTTAAATTCAAATTTGTTATTGCATATTGGTTCGATTATAGAATGATTTTAAACNAAAAGTTCCAATGTACTAATTCTGGTTCAAGTTTCTAGTAAATTTCTTAACCATGAACTTCCACGCTGAAGGCAGGCTCTTGTCATCCCGCGCATTTAAACAGCCTTCTCCTAGCTTACTTCTATATATTTCAATCTTCTCTGTCGTCATTGCTAAAGTTGGGGAAGACAGAGGTTTGATGATTGTTGCCTTGTCCCATTTCACCTCAGAGTCTTGTACCTGTGCCATTTGGGACAAAATCGTTGAATTAGATGCTTTCCTTATGGCATATCTATGTTCTTTGAACCTTACTCACAAGTTTCTGGTGGTTATTTTTCCGTTATTTTTCTCTTGTAAAATTTTTTGATTTAAAAAATTTTTATGTTCTATTCATGGAACATTTATGTTCCATTTTTGTTTTCGACCTGAAGGTGGCCTGTTAATTGGGCTGAAAACATTTGTTTTTTACAATTATATGTATTTCTGTTTATTTTCATATATTTCGAGTTTTTAACCAAATGTTCGAACCATTTTAAATTCAAATTTGTTATTGCATATTGGTTCGATTATAGAATGATTTTAAACGTTCCAGAAAATTGATTCTCGGTAATTTTCATCATTCTTAGCAGTAGGTATTATATAACAATTACTATGGTTGTTGAAATACTGAATATAAATGGGGTTTGCTTGCAAAACTGCTATGGGCGAAGTCGCGGGTAACAACTAATAATAGTATATTAATATATCCCATGTTTAAAATTTTCTGTTGCGTATCGCTTTGTGTTGGATTTTCTTTGATGTTTTAAGCCTAACAAAAATTTTTATAATAATAATCGTGTCTATTGTATTATTAAAAATTATTTCTTTATTTTCTACAAACAAAATAAATATATTAAAAAATATAAAAACAAAAAAAATTATACTTTAGAAGTTAATCTAGTATCAAAAACATTCAATTCAGCACTACACAGTCTGACTGGAACTCTTTCGGTTAACTGATGTTTCGGTTGATCAGCATTTGGATAATCAACGCTCTACTGTACTTGTATGCTTTTGGGACTCTAACAAAATTTTGTGTAAACATGATATTTACAGTCTGCTTTCTTAGACTGCAGCACAGCTTCTCATCTTTTAGAAGCATGTAAGCAATCTTTATCTGACATAAATTTGAAAAAATTCTTCTTCTGTCAATGAATGCCAAATAGTTTTAATCATAAATAGTTTAAGTGACTTAATAAAAGAAATTCCAAGTTGAATCAACTGATTCCCATTCAGAAATTAGTCGATTCAACTTGGATTTTTTTTAAGTTTATGTCAGATAAAGATTGCATAAATATTGCTAAATGTCTAAAGCAGAGCTGTGGCCTAAGATAGCAGACTGTAAATATTATATTTTCACAGAATAATTGAATATAGGTTTATGTGATGTGCACACAACCCATTGTGCATTTAAATTTGCAGTAAAGCAAAGAGGATGGAAGTAGCCAAGTTTTTGTTTGGTATTATATAGTTTGAAAAAATTTTAAAAAAATTCAGAATGAAATCTGTTTAAAATATTGCAAATTGAAGACTGAATATAAATAAAAATTTGGTCTTCATACATCCTACACATTCTTAGGAACACAATTGTGGAGGTGCCATGCAAAAGCAAACAAGTCCACTCTAAACAATTGTTGGAAAAATGCAAAAAAAAAAAACTGTTGTTGAATTTATTTTACACCTCACACCTGTAAAAATTTATTATTATTTTTTTCATTTTGTATCTAACATCAATATTTGAAGGCAGTTTTTGATAGGAATATAGTTAGTATTTAATTATATGACATTAAAATATGGACATATTTCTTTTTGCTTGGACAGGGTGGATATGTTTTTTTTTTTTTGCATGAACTATGTTAGGATATGTTTTCTTTTGCCTGGTCACTATATTCTTTTTCACTTTGTTATACTGTCTACTACTTTGACTTATCAAAAAAACATGGCATTTTATAAAATAGGGATGAACAATAAATGTCTTCTCCTAAACAATTACACAGGTTTTCGTTATTTTCTTTTTCCGGATCATCTGCTTTAAGCTTGGTTCTGTTTCATAACACTTGTTTATACCATGAAAAACTTTCGTCATTTAAAAGTGATTCAATGTCTTTTTTCTTGGCAGCTGACAGAGGGTGACCTACAGGTAGTTGCTCGACTGGCTCCTCAAATCTCATCCCAAAGGAGCACTGTATTTTGTATTTTCTTCTTTGCCCATACTCCAACAGTTTTACTTTTCTTTCTAGATACAACATTGTCTTCTTCTACACTTATTAAACCGTCTTCATCCATTTTTACTCAATTATAACACTGAAATACACTGTATAATAAAATGTGTACTAATAAACAACATTTTAACATCAAAATCTGTTCCAACAGAACAACAAAATGACACAACAAAAACAAAACCATCTGTTTCATTCTGGAAGTCACGTGACTCAATCATAGCTCTTCATTGGCTGAGGCAGACTGCAATGGCTATGTTCTGTTTTGCTTGGAACACATGTAAAGAGATGTTCTTTTTTGCACAGAATGTCGATTTTCAAAGCTTAGAAAGTGTTGAATGCATATTTTTCTGAATGAAACCGACTATAACAGTAGATAGGAATGAGGCTGAAGAAAAAAAATCAGTTATAAACTCAACTTTGATTTTTTGTGGATTTGTTTGCTTCTGCATGGCACCTCCACAATTAACATGAACAAAGTTAACCTTTTTTTTTTTTAGGCTCTTCTCTGCTTACAAATATGTAAATAGATTAAAAGTTCTTGTGTCACCAGATTCTTATAAAAGTTTTCCTTGAAAAATTTTTTCAGTGCCAGAGGGACTTTTAATTAATTTACATATTCATAAGAAGAGAACAGCATCAAAGGAAAGGTCAACTTTGTTCATGTTAATTGTGTTCTTGTGATTATGAAGGATGTCTGAATAAATCAAATTTATATTTAGTCCTTAATTTGTAATATTTTAATTATATAATTTATTTGAGAATGTTTCTATCCAGAGGTCAGATTATATCAGATACTTTGGAAGTAAGATGCTACTGCTGAAGTTTTGCATCATTCATGGGTGTAAAATGCAAAAGTAGTTGCAAGAGCAATTTAAATGATATTTCATCTTGCTCATACATTTCACATATTTTTTCAAGTCAAAAGATATTCTTTCATGCAGGAACTATTCAGTTGTTACTGAATGCTTGAAAAATATCATACTTTTGTCAAAGTTGGCTTTCTTTGAATCATTTGCACAAGATATGGAATTATTCCTGAAGGAACTTCATTTCAGACTGACTGACCAATGGTACCATTTCTATGTGAAGATGAACAAGTTGATTCATAATTTAATGACCTGTTTTGTGAAAGATAATTAATTTCTACTATAGTTTCATTAAGAAATGTACCAATAATAGAGAAAGACTAATTTTAATTCTGCTCATCATATAGATTCAGCGATGCTTTATACTTTGAATTTAATTCATTCTAGGCAGACATTCTAACTCTGAATCAATTTTTCGAATTAGAAATAACAGAAAATGAATTAATCTACTCCCAGACCCTAAACAATATCCATTTGGATAAACTAGAACAGCAAATACATATAATTTAAAGTAAAAACACAAATACATATAATTTAAAGTAAAAACAACAGAATTAAATGCCCTGATAAATTAAAACATACAAACAAAAATATGTAAATACAGTATAACAAAAAATGAAAGTTGCATTAACTGGATGCCATTTTTGATTTTGGCATCTTAAATGTGGCTTGCAGATCTGCCAGATGTGTATTGCTTTCATGTTTTGTGATAAGTTTCTTTTTCATCTCAGTTGTTGATATTATAACCTTCCTCTTAGATGTTTTTCTTTCAAGCTTCTTGGATGCCATGGTTAATAAGTAATAGTTAATATGCAAAAACTTTCTGTTTAACCCAATATAACAGCTGCCATTACTTAACACAGCTGTGTGCTAATGTAAGAACATTGTTTTTTGTTTATAAGCTTGCTTTAAACTTTTTACTTAGCTTTTTGTTTGAATAAAAATCAAGTTGAAATCTCTTCAGATAAAAAGCATAATAGGTATATTATGCTTTGACTTTCAGAAAGAATATAATACTGTACATCAGTAAAAAAAGATTCTAATTTGTATAAAGTTTAGGAGAACCTTTTCCAAACATGTCAAATGTGGTATAAAAAATATTGTTCAGGAAATTTTTAACTAAAGGATACAAAATGTACACAGGCCCAAAAGCTGTCAATGAAGAAAAATTGTAGGAAGAAATTGTTAAAAATTGATGAATAATACATAATACATATAACCAAATACACCAAAGTGAAAAAAGCACTGAAAACGTAGGAGTATAATGTGACAGCAAGAGAGAACTTTGGTGCACAACAGATTGCAAATACATTTAGAGTGCGATTTTTCACTATGCACATAGCAAACTATGTGCATAGTGAAAAAGCACACTCTAATTTCCTGGTAAACTGAATTGTAATTTTGAACTCCAAAGTGAATTTTTGTTGAATTTAGTGTTGAACTCTGAAATATTTAAAGTTAGAGTTGTTTGGAGTATGAGGTACCACTGTATTGGATTTCCAACATGGGATGCTATTTGAAAGGCAAAGGCTAAGGCAACTTTGTTAGACCAAAAGAAAAGGAGGCTTTTATGTGAGCAAAGAATGTTTGAGTGATAACCAAAATGAAATAACTTGTGTAGCTCTCAGACTAGTGTATGATGCTGTAATGGATGCAGGTGTGATAGATAAACTTGACATCACAGAAAACACGATTCTTTCAGCCTGTAGTGTACATTTGAGTATTCAAGAAGCCAGAAAGAAAGAATAGTGAAAAATCAAAGGAAATGGAAGGAAAAAGAAAAGATATAATCAAAATCTTGGGGTTATAGAAGACAAAAACTCAGATTATACAATTAGTTAACCAAGAAGAAAATCAAATTGAAGAAGAACTGCAGTTACTCAAAAAAAAAGACACACACTGTTTCTCAACAATGTTTTGTTATAAATATGATGCTGTTAAAAAATGTTTTTATTAAGGAATTGGTGCTTTATTTATTGAAATTTCATTCTGTATGATTGTTATGTACAGTACATATTATGCTATAAGATAGTCTGATATTCCATTTTCTGAAGAACACCACAAAAATATGGCCAAAGAAAATCTGAATTTTGGACTGAAAAGTTGGAAATGAAATTTTGTGATCCTATTTGGTAGCCATACTGTCTTAAGCATTAAGCACATATTGATGGAATGCTCTGATTTCAATAAAATTTGTATGGTACTCAGGAAATAATTCAGCTTACCAGGAGTTTTGGGCCATAGGCCCAAAACTCCTGGTAAACTGAATTGTAATTTCATATTGTGATATTGATATTGTAAATGAATTTTGAGATTTTGGACATCAAAAAGAGTGTCAATTAGCATTTTATTTTAAAAATAGGTCATTTATGATATCAATTTCAATTTTATTTTTATTAATCAGCAAATTACATCAAGTTTATAATTGTATAATCTGTTCTGTGATGATGACATATGCTCAAATTAAAGCTTTCTTTTAATTTAAAAATTTTTTACATTAATTCACAAATCATAAAAACTGTCTTTAAATGTCTTTAGAATATATTATCTTTCAATATTCTTGTTTTGTTTTCTCAGAAATTTATAATCGCATACATTTGCATATATCTAAATGTGTGCTACAAATTATACATTAGGCTTATTTAATTATTTGTATGATGAATTTTCCAAACTACACAGTAATATTATAATTTTAAAAAGTATAATAAGCTTAAACTTAAAAACTTTTATAGCCTTAGTCAGTTCTTGTATATTTAAAAAAGTAATTAATTGTTAAAAAATACAAATTTTCTTTCCAACTGTTCATCTATGATGCAACTATTTTTAAATAATAGACACAAAAAAATAATTACATAAAAATTGGTTTACTGCTTCACAATGTTTTTATTGTGATAAATGCATTTTGATTCAACAATTTTTATCAGTATCACTTGTTTGACAATTGCTAGAACATTAAAGAAAAATATATAATTATAACTTGTAAGTAATAATTTAAATATAATGAATATTATAAGTTTTGACTTTCTGACAATTGTCATTTTGCATGAATGCCATCTACAATGATGATCCATTCCAGAGAGAGATTTATACCTGTGTTTAGGTTTATTATATTTACATTTTTTTCTTGCATTTTTTTTTTGTTATAATAAAATTTTCTTTAAATTTTTTTTTTTTTTTAATATTTCTTTCATACAATAATATCTTACAATTATTTTCACTTGTAATGTATTGTCTGCGGGGACCATTGATGTCTTAATGCCGTCATGTGTTTAGTTGTCTTCCCATTTTTCCAATATATGCTCCTGTATTTCTATTACAATCACATTTCAGTTCATATATTAAGTCTGTTTTATTTAATTTTTCTTCTTTGCTTATATTATTGTACAGTCCCTAACTGAAAAATATTTATTAATTTGCAAGACAGTTTTCTCAAAACAAATTTACAGTTTGCATTGTAAATATAAAATATGAAAAATGAGTTATATTTTTGAATCTGTTATGGTATAATTCAGTTTGTACAGTTTTTGATTATAATTTATATTTATATTTAATGTAAAAGAAGTTTTTATTAATTTGATAATATATAAATGCTTTACAACAGTTAAATAATAATTAATAAACATTTTTCAGCAACAAACTCAACAACAGCAGCAGCAGCAGCAACAACAACAACAACAACAGCAACAACAGCAGCAGCAGCAACAACAACAGCAGCAACAGCAACAGCAGCAGCAGCAGCCGCAACAACAACAACAGCAGCCACAACAGCAGCAGCAATCACAAGGACAACAAATACCTATTCAAAATTTGCCAGGGAATCAGTCATCCACACAGATTCCACAAAGCAGTAATGTCACACACAATCCAAGTTCAGTCACACCAACAACAGATCCAGAGAAAAGGAAATTAATTCAGCAACAATTAGTATTGTTACTTCATGCTCATAAATGTCAAAGGCGTGAAACTCAATCCAATGGTGAAGTTAGACAGTGTGCTTTACCCCATTGCAGAACTATGAAAAATGTTCTTAATCATATGACAACTTGCCAGGCTGGTAAATCATGTCCTGTTCCACATTGTGCATCATCCCGACAGATTATTTCGCATTGGAAGAATTGTACCAGGAATGATTGTCCAGTTTGTTTGCCTCTTAAACAAGCATCTGATAGAAGACAACAGCAAGCAGGTATGTAAAAGTATAAAATAAAATATGTATATAGTTTTATTTTTTTACTAAAATGTATATACCCTAAAACCATGGCTTTAGGCTACAGTCTGTACATGAAGGCAACCTTTTTAGCCAAGGTTTTAGGGTACAACTCCAGAAGAAAAACCGGTAGCTGTGTATTAAAGTTAATTGCCATATCTTTAATTTGCCATAATACATTTTGTGAAAGTGAAAATTATAGTTTCTTTTTATGGAAAGTTATGTAATTTTACTGCATTTATCTTATATATTGCAGTTACAATATTTATTCATGAACTGTTATATATAATTATTATTGGTTTATGCAGAAGTTTCTGAAATTTTCTGTTTTATTGCCAAAAAATACTTATCCTTAAATGCCTTTGATCCTATAATTCTGCAAGTGCATGATTTTTGTTTAGTTGATCAAGAGAACATACAAAGAAATTAAAGAGCATTAGAACAAATAAATAATTTCGAAATGGTTAAGTGGCGTTTCAATAGAATACAAAGTTTAAAATATAAATAAATAATAAATTATTTATTTATTTATATTTATAATGTATCATTAACATATATAGCATATATAGTCCTTGACCAATTTCTTTGATACCAAATTATATTTTTCTTTCAATAATGTAAACATCTTACACACATGCATGCTTTAATTTTTATCTTATTTATATGAATATACCATAAAGCTTATGTCTTCTGGCTTTAATTGTAGAAAAAGAAAATATTATAAAATTTAAGATTTGTCTGTTTTCATCATATTTCAAAAATTGTAACTTATGATTCAAAAATTATGGGATTTTATTTTAAATGGTTCATCAGAAAGAAAATTGTGATCAGAATGGCAATGCATAAGGTATAAAAAGTTAAATGAAACTTACAAGCTATTACAATAATATTAAATACTGTTTAAAAATTTTAAATTTTATGTAAAATGGAAATATGTTTAAAATATGTGTATATTTTAAACTTGAAGAAAGGAAAGATAGGAAAAAAAACATTGAGTCTCAAAATGTGTCTTCCTCTTATATAGAAATTGACTTCAACCATCGCTTAATTATATCTATTTTAGATTATTTCCAAACCAAAAGTATATAAAATTTCTTTTAAAAATCTCTGTAGTGTTTGATTCTTGTAGAATTTTGAATAAGAATAAAAATAAAAATCCAAGACAAAAAAAGAAAGAAATAGAATCTTAAATACATTTCCTTTTGTCATTAAAATTTAAAATATTAATTTATACAATTTGAATCTGTTTAAACAAAAACAAAAAGTATTTTTAAGACACATTTGCAATTATTATAGTTTTGCCCTAGAGAAATTAAAGCTGCAGCTGCATTGGACATACATGACAGAGCTCTTCCTAAAGAAAAAAAAACTTGACAATTCAAGGAAATGCAGAAATGCTGCCTCCTCANGATATAAATTATGATATAAATAATAAAATTATTTATTTATATTTTAAACTATAAATTATTTATTATATTGAAAAGTTAAAATGAAATTATATTTAGTTGGCGTAATATCTTTTCAATTTTTAAATTTAGGTTGGCATTTCATTGAATTGACATTTCTGAATCTGTAAAATTTTTCTTTATCTTTATTTGCAAATATGGTACATTACTGTAATCTTAACTTCAAATTAATTTAATAGAAAAGGAAAAAATGATGAAAAGATAGCTTTGTTGATCCACGAATCAAGCTTATGGTCAGACAAGGAATAGTCTGAATAAAATAGGTCAGTGAAGTTCAACTTTTTTCAGTCTGGAGACCAAATTATACATTTGAGCTGTGCAAAGTTGCAGGGCTTAAAGTGACTCACTTTTTTTTAGCTTTTTCTGAGGCAAATTTGCTGTTTTAGCTTTTTTTCACTTCCCATGTGGAATTTATTTATTTTATTTTTGTAAATGCATTCAAGATCAAAATAGCAACCAGCACTCCCCTTACTGCAATCCTCCAACATTCAAGCTGCAAGAAACATACAAATAAATGCAATGAAGCTTTTGGTCCCAAGCAGTTAAGACTGATGACTGCCCCTCAGATGTCTCAATGTCAAAGTATTAGTGCTGAAAGTGTTGCTAGTGTGAGCAATGTTGTAGACGCAGGTGCCAGTTCAGAACACCAATCATTGCAACAACCATTGCTTCAACTTGTGCAAAAGATGGTGCTTACATTGCAGAGCTTATATGGACTATGAAAATGATAGCCAGCAATTATTCATTTGCATCATGTCATGATATAAAGGAGACAATCAATGCCAAGTGTGCAGACAATCTTCCAAAAGAATTCTCATTGTCACATCAAAAAATGATACTTAATCACTGAAGCTTTGGCCCCATATTTCTTTGATCGGTGGGAGATGATGCACAATGGTCATATTATAGCATTTCTTTTGATGAGACATTCAATGTAGAAGACAGAAAATAACTGAAAATACTGATTAGATATTGGTCAGAGTAACAACAGGAAGTTGTCTGCAGGCATCTCCAGACCTCATTTATTGGGCATGCAGATGCCGAAACAATTAAATCAAAAATAATACTTGCAATTGAAGATGCATATCTACCTTTTGATAAATTACTGATGATTGGATGCAATGGACCAAACATAAATAAAAAAGTATTGCATTTCATAAACAAGGAAATTTTGACAACTTGCAAAAAAGGCCTCATAAACATAGGGACTTGCAGCATTCATACAATCCACAATGCTTTTTTGAAAGCCTGAAAGAGTTGGGCGGAGATGGTGGTGATCTCATCATAGCAACACACAGCTTTTTTGATGGGTGGCCCTCTAGGTGGGATGAATACACAGAAATTCAAGAGAAACTTAATTTGCCATGCAACAAATTTATGAAGTATTCATCAACTAGATCAGTGGTTCCCAACCTTTTTTCATTAGCGTACCCCGTGACATGTCATATTTCTAGATTGTACCCCGTGACATGTCATATCTCTAGATTGTACCCCTCATTTAAGAAATTTAGTGAGTAACCGTATTGTTAATTTTACATATTGTAACTTTAAATTAAAGAAAAAAAACCTAAAAGAAAAAATGTATAATAAAGTTGTGATTGTTGCAAGGAACATTTTTTATCTAATAATTTTTTAATACTATTAGTTTGTGATACATAATATATTATTTTTTCTGCCATAATAACTAACTTTTTTCTGTACCCCTAAACAACCTATCGCGTACCCCTAGGGGTACGCGTACCACAGGTTGGGAATCGCTGCTCTANTTGGTCCTGCAGCAAAATGACTGATCGAACAATGGGAAGGACTCATATTATACTTCCTAAAGCACATTCCTCAAGAATTCCAGCTTAATGAATAGTGTTTCATATAAGATAATCTCAAAGTCATTGAAGTGTTCTACCATCAAAGCTGAACTCTATTTGGGAATATCTAGTGCTGAACTATTCACAAAGTTTACTGGGCATTTTCAGTGCAATGATCCTTTAATACATAAACTTTATAGTGAATTGCTTACTCTGGTGTGAAGAAAATTCAGTGTGATGAAGAGGAGAAAACAAGAGAAGTGCAGAAACTGCAGCATGACTTAAACAAAAGAAAATCATCTTTAGTTATAAATTTTTTTAACAAGAAATCAAAAACTGTACATTGAAATAAATGGCATTTGAAATTTGACATGTTGTTTGGAGACACATTCTGGTAGTTATGTTACTCGTCCATTTCCTTTGCTGTATAACGGTAGGAACTCCATACAGGGCACATGAAAACTTAATGCACTCTTACTGGTTACTTTTCTGGAGTGTAAACTCAGCCTAACTATTTTCATATTTAATTTTTTCAGTCCAATTAAAAATCAATCTAATATCATATGCAATGTTATTGATACAAAATGTTTGTGTGTTTTTTTTAATAATGCCTCTTTTAGTTCACTTTAAAACTATTAGCTTTTTTTCAGTGTGAACTCTCTTTTTTTACTTTTTTTCACTTCCATGACTGCTTTAAGCCCTGAAGTTGTTTCCTCTGGAGAAACAATTTTTATAAAAATGTGGAAAATATGTTTTGAATTTTTAATTAACAAACAAGTATACAAAGAGGTTTTGTTAAAATTAATAGGTATTGTAAATAGACTCTTTAAAAATATTTTATGTAAATCTTTCTTATATTTATGTAGAAATTTATGAAAAATCTTATTCCGTACTGGAAGCTGTACTGAAAAAGTAGGAAAAGCTCAAAATATTTTTATACTCAGGTGTATGACAACTTCGTGAAATAAAATCAATGATTTGCAAGACAAGTATTGACTATGGAGATCAGTCTATAAAAATTACTAAATGAAACAATGAGTACAGCTAAATAACATTTTAATGAGAGCACTGAGCATTATAGTGATTTATTGAAGATTGAATGTTAATTTCCATTTATGTAGTGACAAGTTCTGTTGACCTCAATAAATTTTTTCATAACCTATCCTCTGTCTAAAATTATAATTATATATGTACAGTGTACATAGTACCAGATACTAAAACAGTTTCACAAAATCTTCTTTGAACATATTTTTAAAGCAAAATTTCTCAAACATGAATATACAGCAGTTGAGTGCAGAAAATGTATTGTGGCAAATGAATTGTGAAAAATGCCAATGAAAATTAGCAGTTATCAAATAACAATAACATGGGTAAATTATCTATCATGATTAACTAGATAGGCTGCCTCTTGAACTACTTGGAGATACTTATTTTCTTATCTAAAAATATATACTATATATATAAAAACAAAAGTCCTACTAGGATGATAATTTAAGAAATGAAATGATTACTTTGATCCTTTTATCAGTTCTGTATTATTAATAGGAGAGGTAATTAAATTAAACTATATGTATTTTGAACTATTTTAATATGCAGTTTCTCTTTAGTAATAGTGTGTCAAGATATTTTCTTGTCACTTTATAATACAGTAGAACCTCGAAAACTCGGCCTAATGTGGACCGAAGGGTGGCCGAGTTTGTGAAAATGCCGGGTTATCAGGAATGGGGTTAAAAAAATAAGTATGAGTGTTTTCTCAGAAAATACTGTACTGTACTTGTATGTATTGTTTACTTGAGAATATAACAGAGAATAAACTGCCCAAATACCCTTAAACAAAGGAAAAGTACGTCCTTTATGAAGGCATAGAGCCTTTACTACATGAAAATGAAAATTAATGATTACACTGTGTACAGTAATTTAACCTGATAAGACAGACCTCAGAAAAATACTTTATGAGAGCTTTTATACTTTCATAAAGCTGTCTATAATGAAAATTAATTAACTAAGGATTTTTTTGCCCTGCCATGGTGTGGCCGAGTTATCCGGAGTGCCGGGTTATCGAGAGCCGAGTTTTCGAGGTTCTACTGTATAACAATATTTTCTAACTCAATTATCAGTACTGATGATGATCATTAAAGAACCTTAAATCTGGTATCAAAATGTTCAATAAAACATTCAACACTTTTAATATAGATTTTATTTTTATAATACAGTGGAATTTGGTTATTATAATTACTTTGGGATTTATCTATACCAGTGGTGTCCAAATCTGACCCACGAACATATTTGACACATCACTTATAAATAGGCTACTTTTAGTATATATGGAATATACAAAATATTTATGACCTGCCTATCCTGTAACTTAGGAACAATTTGATCTGCCAGTCAAAAAGTTTGGGCACTGCTGATCTATATATTGATAACCAACTGATAACATTAAGCAAAACAAGTAAACAATAATAATAATAGTGAAAATTCTCATTTTATTGATTCTGACATTAAGAGAATATGTTAGAACAATTAAAAAATGTACAACTGGGAGATTTATTAATTATAATTATTATTAATGTTAATAATTATAATTTTAATATTAATTTATATGTTTTAAGAAATGCTAATTGTGTTAAAAATATCCGTGATGATAATAAGCAAAGTCTGCTGTAATGGAGATAATTTTGACTGTTGATGTTCCCAGAAATGATTAGTAATTCAAAAAACTTGTAGATGATTTGCATGTAAGACTTCATTGGAATGTTATTTTGTCATTTTATAATATTTGCTTTAATGTTGTTTTAATTATTTTATGTTCTTTTGTTTCTTTGAACATGGCAATGGTTATTTTATTACAACATTTCCAGTGAATAAAATTTCAACAGAAATGTTGTAATAATTACAAATAGAATTTATTACACTCAGATTTATTTATTTTATTAATGAATCAAATACTTTGCACTTAAATTTAATGTACTAAAGATTGTAATTAAATATGAGTAATTTTGTATTTCAGCAGCTGCAGTACAGTTGAATCAACAGAATCAAGGTCCAGCACCTGCTGATATGCAGAGAGCTTATGCTGCTCTTGGACTTCCTTATAATGCTGCTGGACCTACTAATATGAATCAAGTAATGCCAAGAAATCAAGCTGTTCCTTCTTGTAAGTTAATTCATTTATATTTGTTGTTAACTGTTCATAGTTCAATATCATCTGAATAATTTTATATAAAAATGTTAAGAGAGGCTGAATATTTTCGTTAATAGTTTCATAATTGATAATTTATTCAACAATTGATAATTTATCAATTATCAATTGTTGAAATTTTTTATATATCCAAATTTATTAATGTAAAACATAGAACTTTAAAGTCTTTTCATGAGTTCTGCATAATTTGCAGTATTTACTAGTCAGTTAATTTTTCAAAAGTAGTGTGTTTTTAAATCAATAAATTTTCATGAGTGGTCTGTTAAATCTTTGGTTACAGCACAATTTTTTAATTAGATAATTTAAATTCTTTACTCTATATTCTATTTAAAAAATAAAACATCATGAAAACAAAGTGTTGATTAACAAGGTATTTTTTTTTATATTAAACATGTAAAAAATAATAAATTTATACAGCAAATTAGATTTACAGTAATATGTATTATGTATTGCTTTGATATTACTCTGGAATTGAATTAAGTTGAATTGATATTGAATGTTCTTGGGAAGTCTTTGGAATAGTTTATTTTATTTTTTTGATTGTGTTTATTTTTTTAAAAATAATTACCATGCATCATGCAGCGCAATATTAAAATATTTACATAATTAGTTTTTTATAATGTTTAATAATTTATGTATATGTGTAAAGAAGACAAGGAAAGCTATTATTTTCATTATCAAAAAGAATTATTTTTATTAGTTAAATGATGTAAGGATAATGTTTTATTTTTTCATCAAGTCAGTGTACACTATGACACATGACAATAATCTTCAAACCCTTTTGGTCATTGTAAGTTCTTAAAACAAGGCTATTTATGTTTGTTCTGTTTGTATTAATTAGAATATTTCTTGCCAGAGGGTGATCATTTGACTGGAATTATGAATATTGACTTAAGTCATATAAATGTGACTCTTGAGGCATGTCTAGCTGTTAATCTACTATAAATAAATTTTTCTTATTAACAAAATATAATATAAACAATATATTTTGTTAATGATTAATAAATTATTTAATACATTGATTGCCAAAACTAGAGTGAAAAAAGTGAGTTAAAAATAACCTCGGGCAAAATAAAATTACTGATTTATTTGTTTAATAAAACTGAAATAAATATTCTTGATGAATTATATGATTTATTCTTATTTGTTTAGCTTTATAAGCATTTTTTTGTGCTGTGAATGGCTGATGTTGCTCAGTAAGTTACTTTATTGACCGAGAAGCAATGTTAAGCCATTTGTTGATGATATTATTATTCCATTGCTTTGCCTCAATTTGATTTATTGAAACTTGTTGATAGCTGTGCATTTGCTAAATCAAGTTCATCAGAATAGTCTATGCTTATTAAATACTAATTTAGATGAAAATGTGAAAACACAAAAAGAATGTACATTTTATTACTTGACTGCTTCTTGTTTTTTCTCTTGTTCTTTGGAAGTAAGCACAAAATTGTTATGTAAAACTTATCACTCAGATACACTATTTGATGAATAAAATAAACTTTATTTTGTACAATGGATTATTTTTGTATTTTTTTTTTTTAGTTGTACTCATTTTAACATTTTGTGTTTTTATATGTTTTTAGCTAGTTTTAACTTTTAAATTTTTAGTTTTACTAGTTTTTTTGCCCCTTCACTTTTGTTTTAAATACAGTCACATGTAAATATCATTTTAGTTTTAACAATTGTACAATAAGGACTGAAGAAAGGCAAATAGCCTGAAGTTCATATCTGTTTCATTGTACAAAATAAATTCAATTTATTCATCAAATAGTGTTCCTGTGTGATAAGTTCTACATAGCAAGAATGCACATTTTATATTACATGAAACTGAAGAAAACAGAAGGATGAGTTGCATCTAGAAAAAAGAGAGATTTTTCAGTATTGTTATGAAATCTTTACACTATACATTCCAAACACAAAGGGTTTGCCATTTGCAGTTCCTTGTGTTTGGAATATGTTTGAAAACTGTAAATCATTATAATTTTATAATTGTTATTTACTGTTTTTAATATAGTTTTTTCTATCATTAGTTAGTTATTTTTTTCACATTTTATGATATTTTCAGCATCAGATATCATACTTTTAAAAGGTAATATAAATGTACATAGATTGTTAACTGTGCATCATTGATGTGGTTCTGACTAAATCTAAGGTTGTCAGCCATATACAGTGGAACCTCACTTAACAAGCATAATTTGGTCCAGAACTTTACTCATAATGTGAAACACTTGTTAAGCAAAACAATTTTTACTATAGAAATTAATGTAAAATATGATAATGCGTTCCATGCCAAAAAAATACTCAAATACCATATTTACTTGCATATAAGATGAGGTTTTTATTCATTTTTCACTGCTTCAAAAACCTAGGTCGTCCTATGTGTGCGAGTGAAGGATCCTTTGCGTTTTTGCAATAATTTTTGTTAACCGTGTATAGTTCATGCTGCCATTATAGCAGAGTGCTATCGAGGTCAAGTTGAATGTCACTTTTAAAGAGATGATCCGAAAATAGCTGGTCACTTAGCAATGATTATAAATGTAGTTATTTTTAATGAATATTTGTACATTCTGAATCATTAAAAATAAACTTCTTCCTGTCACATGCATTATAAGCTTTTGGTTTTGCTACATGGATATCAGGTGCTGGAAAAGCAATCTTCATTTTAAATCCACTCAATGGATCAGAGGATGGTGTTTTGTGGAGTAAGAGCAAAAACAAGGAGAATTGTAGCGAAGCTTCGGAGAGTGAGTCTGAGTAGATGAAGATGATAGCGTCAAGAAAACATGGTTGTTTGCCTTAACATGTGCATTTGATGATAATTTATTTGTGATTAAACAAACTAAATTTAGAATTGTATTAATAAATCTAATTTTCTTTAATTTGATCTTAAAGTTACACCTTGTCTTATACGCGAGTAAATATGGTATTTTACGTATAATGTTTATTCAAAGAAAATTACACAATATACATTGTTAAGGAGAGTGAATCATCATCATCTTTTTTTCTAGCATGGAATGAACCAACCTAGAATGCAAATTCAATTTGCAGAGAACAAAAAATCACATAATAGCATGATGGAGCATGTGCACAATCTGGGACTTCCCCTTTTCTCATTGCTTGTTATGCGAAACTTCACTTGTTAAGCAAGTCATTTTTAAAAAATTTGATTTGCTCATTATGCAAGGTGCTTGTTAAGCAAGATTCCACTGTATGTCTGAAACTACTACTAAAAAATTTGGTGGTATCAGACATACAATCTAATGTGGTAGTTAACATGTTAATACAAAATAAATATATTAATATTTAAAAAGTTATTGACATCAAAATATTTCTTAAATTTTTTAAAAATTTGCAAATTTATTAAAAAATTATGAAATAAAGGATTATGAATAGATTTGTGTTTTCTCTGTAATTCGTTTTCATATAACTGGCTCTCTGGGTATCTGGAGTATACATGTGATGCATTACATTTTAGAATAAAATTTGACAAAATTGCCTTATAACAGGTTGTACACTATTTTTTTAATGTTGATTAATTATTGTATAGAATGGACTTTGGTACTTTGGAAAACATGTTACATGCAGGATCACCTTACATTTTCCATGGTTTACTTTTAAATTCTTATTTTGATGTTGATAGTGGTTCTTCTTTAGCAGCATGTCTCTTATTTTTAAACTTGATACCTTGGAATCCTCTTGATATTTTCCTGACTTGAAGCCTTTTAACTTGATTCTTTCTCTTTCCATGCATTGTATTCAAGTAGGTAATTGCATTCTCTCTCCTGAAGGAAACAAGTGGCAACTACTTCTTTTTCTTTCTTATGAGATTGTACAATATGCTAGGGTTGACTACAGCCATGTCCAGCACTCTAGTAAAAAATTGGCCAGTATCACTTACTGCATCTAATGGTGGTGGCATACTTTTCAATGTACTAGCGCTGATCAACTCCACCCATACATTTATTATAGGCATTGATTAAATTAGGTTGAGATATGAAGACTTTCCTGTGCTCTTGTCTGTTGTATCACTTAGCAAATGACAATGAAGCAATGTAGCAATTGTCTGATGATTTGTAAGTCATGAAAACTGCTCATCTATCATTACATTTTTTACCGTTAAAATTTTCTTAACTTTAAGAAATATTCAGTAATGACTGCTTCTCGGCTGTTTCAACTCCTTGAAGTTACAACATGGTATCTGTTGGTTTGATTCTCTTGAATAGTTTTCATTGTTCTAAAACTTGTCTGCTGGAATTCTGCCAATAGTTTAACTGGAAAAAAGTTATGAAAGTAAACAACATAACTATTTGAATCTTCTACAATTTCCAGCATTCTCTTCGTTGGAGCTGTTTCTAGTGGATTGTTATGATTGTTCTTTCTTCCTGTCTAGAGAAAGAAATTGTAGTAGTATCTTTCTGGATTTCATATCACCCTGAGCTTGTACCCAATTGTAATTGGCTTTTCTTTCATAAACTACTTCCTGCAACAGAAACCAAAATATTTTACTATCATCTCATCAACAGAGAACTCAAAGGTGAATATCCCAAACAGCATAAATTTTGTATTTACCATGTCAATTGGGTTTCATTTTGAAATCTTTCTGATCTTGGTTTTGAGCATCTAATGAATTGTCTGATAAATGAATACAACTTTTATTTTCTCTAAACTTGTTTATTGACATAGTGTCTTTTATCATTTTCACACCAATGACATCATCTTCAGACTAGAACCAACATTTGTTTGAGAATGTGTAGTATCTACTGAGTAAAAATATGTTCAGGAATGTCTTCATCTCTAGATAATGTAAAAGTGGATCATTTTTAACTTTTAAAGCAAATATTATTGTTTCCCTTGCTGTAAGGTTTATAGCTTCTTTGCTAAACATTTTTTAAAACATCTGAATAGTGATTAAAGTTTTTTATGTCTTTCTTGTTTTTGAATTTATTTTCAGCATCATTTGCTATGTTGTTCCATTTGTAGATAGAGCAAAATTTTTTTTCTCTTAGACTTTGGAATTGTCATTTGTTTCTGTTATTTCTTAGTATTGCATATAATTGGACTTGGTGATTCATTCACACAGGTCTTTATTTTTATTCTGAACACCATTCATATATAAGGCACTATTTACCTTTGTACTGTCTGTATTCATGGATACAGGAAATGAGATCTCTTCATTATTACTTTGTCTCTTCAGTTATATCTTCTGATGCTATAATACAGTGAATTTTGATGTAACCTGGAACATTACATCTCTTGGTGTGACAGTTTCTTCATTATCTCCATGTTCTGTTTATCTAAAAATCTCTCTTGCGTCTGCAATAGATAGTGCTTTGCTGTTACTTATTTAAAAAAAAAATAGTTTCTAAATTACACAAGGTTTATATTTCACAAGGCAAATAAAACATTTCAAGTAGTCACATCAAGTGACTACTTGAAATGTTTTAGAACATTTAGAACATTTTAAAACATGTTTTAAAACATTTAGAACATTTTGTTTTAGTTTTTGTCTTTGTTAAAAATATTTCTGAAAATTTTTAGTTTAAATTAATTGTAGATAGATTAAAATTATTATACAATTCAATGGTAGAAAAATATTTTAAATTAAGAAATGTTAAAGATAATGTATTAAGTGATATATTTTGTTATAACAGGACTGTTAACAGTGCATCTATAATTATTTTTTGCTGTTCTAAAGCTTTTACATCCCTGACAGAAAGATTTCTGATATGTCATTTTAATCAATCTCTAGCTTATTCTTCAATAATATAAAACAGTAAAAATTTTTACACTTATAATTATTTTATATTAGTAAACTTTAATGTAAAAATCTTCAGCTATAATCAAAGATCTTTTATGTTGATAGTATATAAAAAAACTTATGGGCAGTTGGAAAAAGACATTTGCAACAAANGAAATTGTTTTATCCAAGCTATTTTTATGTCACACATGTTATTTCAATTGCTCATAAATTTATGTATGTATTGTCAACATGAAAACTTTTTAATGTAAAAATCTTCAGCTATAATCAAAGATCTTTTATGTTGATAGTATATAAAAAAACTTATGGGCAGTTGGAAAAAGACATTTGCAACAAAAAAAGCTTAGACAGCTATTTCTGACAAAAAATACTTTGGGCAGTATATTAATATTTAGTTATTTTACCTTTGGCTTGTATAACAACTTTCATATGATCATTCACTGTATCAACAAGAATCTGGCACTTATTTGGAACGATTTTATCCCAAATTTACTTGATTTTGCTTTAAATCATTCACACTTCCATGAGGACTTTATCTTAATACTTTTTAAATTCTAGACCACACATTTGTTATTGAGGAGAGGTCAGATTGCTCGATGGTCATTTTAATATGTTAATATTATGTTGGGGCAGACAATCTTTGGTTCTTTTTGGAGTATGGCAACTTGCACTATCCTGCTGGAAAATAAAATGTCTTTGATATTGTAATTTTTTTAAATTACAGTAGCAGGTTTTCTTAAAGAATTTGTTGGTATTTTGCAGCATTTACTGATTCCTTGATAAAACACAATTTCTCAAAACTTGGGCTGACATGCAACCCACACCATTATGCTTGCTGTGAATTTTACATTGTATTGTAGAGAGTCACAATGGAGTACCTCTTTTTGTTTTTTGATGACTTTTTTTCTGTTGCCTCCAATGAATACTTCAAACTATATATCATCACTAAAAACAGCCTGCTTTCACTGTTTTTTGTCTAGCATTGGTAGTCTTTGGCCCACTTAAGTCGTTTTTTGTTTGTGTTTTTGTGAGAAATGGTTTTGCCTTTGTCTAAGTAAGCAGATCATGTCATAATTGTTAAGTAAAAATAATTATTATTTCTTACCTGATAGAAGATGTAGCAAAGTTTGTGAAGATGAATATGACAAGTTTAAAAAAAAAAACTTTTCCAGTAACCTTATACCATTTGTTCACTAATTCACCGAGTGATGCATCTCAATTTTTTAAAAATTATTTCATGAAGATGCTTGTGATCAGTCCTTGCTATAATTACTGGCTTTTCAGTTTGTTTGTTTATTTTTTTGATTAATTTTACCAGTTTTCTGATATTTTAAAACAATGCTCCATATTATGGATTTGTCAATTTTTATTTCTTTTGCAATTTGTCTTAATGATTTGCCTTCTGTATGGAAGATGAGGATTACTTCACATGTCAACACGTAGTGTTATCAGGTGCCATTTTTATTAAATTAATACACCTCAATAATAATAATAATAATAATACAGAAAAAATGAAATATCACATGTCAGCACAATTACATATTTAGGAACAGGTTGTTTAATGTACTGTTTGAGGTATTTCTTGTCAGAAATTGTTTTATCCAAGCTATTTTTATGTCACACATGTTATTTCAATTGCTCATAAATTTATGTATGTATTGTCAACATGAAAACTTTTTAATGTAAAAATCTTATTATAATTACAGCTTACTAATATAAAATAATTATAAGAATAAAAAAATTTTTGTTTCCTATTATTGAAGAATAAGCTAGAGATTGATAGAGATGACATGCTATCTGAGGTTTTTTTTTGTCAGTATTGTAATTTTGTAAAAGGAAAGTGGAGGATATACATGTTATTACATCATAAAAATACTTTCCATAGCAACTTAATCTAAAATGATATTATGGTCAATAACAATGAAATGTAATGTTTTTTTGTACCTTGCCATTTTAGTAATTTTATCACATCCAAGGAAACATATCTGTATATTTAATATAGATATTATTGGTAGTTTGGGCCACTTAAATTTTTGATAAATTTTAGAGGCATAATGGGAGAAGGAAGATTATAATAATCCAGAGGACATTTGAAAATTATGGTTCACAATTTGTTGATGATTTATGGATAACTAGCTGCAAGGACCCGCTTGCTGGGTTTTTATTTGTTTGTACAAGTTTGTAATATAGTTTTTGTTTTTTATATATAAACGACCGTTTTTCTAAGTAATCTAGAATCTAGCTGTAAGGACCCGCTTCACTGGGTTTTTATTTGTTGGCAAAAAGTAACGATAGTGAGGATTAAGATAATTACATTATAGCCAATCTTACCCATTTTCACAGAATGCAAGAATTAGGTCCCCCGTTTCTAGACTAATTAAGAGACCTGGTCCCGATTCTATTTCTGAACGTCTCCTGTTCACGTCCAGTAAAACGAACTATTTTCAACGTTTCTGGAACGTTACAATCGTTCTATAATCGAACCAATATTCGAATTTTATGTTTGAATTCAAATTCGAATATTGTTCGAATTAAATTCGAACAAATTCGAACATAATATTCGAAATAGAAAGCCACTTTCAACCACTTTCAGCCTCATATCTTCTGCACCCTTTAGCTATCAAGACACAACCCCCATAGTGCACGAACGGAGACTTGGGGCTACTACCACATACAAACACCATTCACTTGAGATGTGTAGTTTTGGCAGAAAAGTGAAATATAGGGACATACACGTCCATTTTATATATATATATATATATATGATGTGCTATCATGTTGAAATTTTTATACTTTCATAATGCCATCTGACAGTGTGTGTATCTAGTATTATATAATATTTAGCATGGAGTTGAACACATTATAATTTTGTAGTATAAATTGTATAAAGTTTAACAACAGAAATTGAACCAATTTCTGGTGCATATATCATATTTTTGCAGAATGACCAGCATGCTACATAAAAATGGGGGCAACCAGCGTGCCAGTTAAACTGTGACTAAAATATAAAATTAATCAAATATAACAAAACTAATTGTTAATGAAACATTGAAGAATATGTTCTTCTGAGTACAATAAAATTATAACATTGGAATTTGATGGACTTGAAATCAGGAAGAGTTTTTGTTACAAGACAATAAAACAATTAATGACTTATTTTCATTAGTAGTAATAGTAGTTGGTCACTGTGGGCTACACTGATCATCTATCCCAACCTTAAAAATAACATCTTTTTCTCAAATTTCACACAAAGCCAATGTTAATTGGTGTAAGCTGAGATAATTTACAGTGCATTTCTTAAATTTAATATGTTTATTTCTGCGTTTTTGAATCAAATAATAAAATACACATAAAAAAAAGCACTTTTAGAATTCCACGAGTATTTTATGTTGTTAGAAGACAAATGAAGAAATTAAACATATAATTGTAGTTTTTGATGTAACACTGACAATTTCAAGTTTTAGAAAAAAAATGGGTTCATATTTACATGACGTAATGTCTTTGTTTTTTTAATGCATTCTCTAGAGAGAGATCTATAACCTCACTTAAACTGACATTCTCCAAGATAAATCAGTATGTTAGTTTTTACCATATGGAAATATATGATTTCATGGTCTCCCCAGATAAATCAGCATGCCGGTCATTCTGCGAAAATACTATAATACAAAAGCAAACGACAACAGAATTGTTACCTAATGGAATGTTATTGGAACAAGATGTTAGTGGATTACTGCTTGACTCGACAGAGAGAGACTTCAGAAGAAGAATATAAAGAAAGAAAACATACATTAAGACAAATAGCTGTTTATTCTGATAACATTCTGTTGGTTAACTGTTCTGTCACATTTGGAAGAACTCTGAAGGAGTTGGAAAATATTTCTACAGTGTTTGTTTTTGTATTATACTCACTGGAAATTGGTTCAGTGTTTGTTTTATATCCCAGAGTGGAGTCGTGTATGTTTTAGTATAAAGTTTATTGTATTTTTTAAATGCATATTATATTTATATGTAAATATATGAATAATAATTTATTTATTTGCAGTAAATGAAGTACCACCTGGCCAGTGTTCTTCACAAACTATAAATCATATTGGTCAGACCCAACAATCTCTTCAGGCTCAAACTCCACCTCAGACTCAAAACCAGATGCGCCCCTTGGGTCCTGAGGGAGTAAATCAACTTTCTCAAAATTATTCAGTCTCTTTGGATAATAATCAGTTGCCTTTAGGTGGTAAAATGAAAGCTCCAGGAATATCCATGTTACCTCCTTCACCAAATCAAATTACTGGACCAGTACAATCAGTTTCCAATATTCATGGTCAAACTACACCAGGCAATAAAGAATGGCATCAGTCAGTGACAAGAGATTTAAGGAACCATTTAGTACAAAAAATGTAAGTAATAAGAATATTTTTAAATTAATTATTAATAATAGCAAAAATTCTATTAAATTTTATTTATTACCATAATGAAAGATTAGGGAACATTCTTAATATAACTAGCTCTAAAATTATTTGGAAAAACTATTTGAAAATTAATATGTAAGAAATTACACTTTATGTTAGTATTTAATAACTACAACTTATTCTGGAAGAAATTATTTATTGAATGTTGAAGAAAACTCAAATAAGTTATATTAAGACAACCATTTCTTAGAATTTATCTATGAAAATTTTTTTTGAAATATTTGAATTGTGTCTCATTTTATTAAGAATGCCTGAAATCAACCAATTTAACAATAGATTTTTACCTGTTTTTAAATTGGTCAATATTATAATTATAATAAAAGTAAGTACTATGTGTATTGTTATTTGATGTTAATGCCTTACAGTATTTGCAAATAGTTACCATAAAATCATTTATTATATTTTGTGGGTTGATAAAAAATATTTAACAAAGGAAAATGTTTAATAACTTAAATTTTTCATTGACAAATACAATAGTACTTCTGGTGTGTGTAAAAAATATATTAATTTATATATTTAGTTTTTTTCACATCAATACTTCATACTTTTATTGTTATTTTTTTATAAAATTGCAGCAAGAAATTCATAAATTCTTTGTTTTTAAAATGATAAAAAGATGACTTATCTTAATAAATAATTTCTCTTTTTTGAGATTTTTATATTTGTAAAAACCAAATACAAAATATTTTTTTATGGATTAATTAATTAATTAGATGTAATCTTTAAGTGATTCATGTGCTCATTTTTAAAGTATACTGTTTAAAAAAATTTGAATATAACATATTACAAAAATAATATTCATTTACTTTAATAATTTAATAGCTGCTTTAAATTGTAAGCTATTTGCATTACAGAGACACACTGACAAAGCAATCTTTGTCAAAAATATAGTAAAACCTGAATAAAATGAAAATATACCTAAAAACAAAAAACTTCAGAATGGAGCAAATTTCTACATTAAGTTTTACTATAAACTTGAAATCTGTGTGGTATGGAAATGGAATAGATTTCTGGGTACAGAGAATAAAGCAGAATTAAACTTGAATAAAGCAGAAAAATTCGCTTGTTGACAAAGAAGTAAAATCATCTCCAAGTATGAAACATTGTCACCATAGATCATGACAAAATGTATTCCAAGAATGATCTTAAATACTTTTGGAGAAACAGAAACCATATGACAAGGTTACATAAAAACATAATCTTTCTTAACATTAGTCCTTGTTGGAATTAATCAAGGGCAGAATTGATTACTTTTAGGAATTGAATGAGTTTCTGAGAACTGAGTTCTTGAGAACAGTTGGCAAATGTAATTCATTGAAATCAGTGAGAATAAGGTAAACAGCTTTATCAATTTACTTTGTATGGAGTAGTTAGTAGAGAGGTTGAGGCCAAAGTTTTCATCTCTAAAACATGAACTTAGAACATCTAGTGCTGCCATCTTAGAAGCCTAGAAGTTTGACAATGATGATTGGAATGTTGAGCATCGTGAGTAGAAGTTCAGCTTAAATGTCTTCATTTTTTGTGTTTTGGGTTAAAATTATGATGTATTTTATGAAAATAATGATTATTTATGCATTTATGAACGACATTGTAAAAATAGACTATTTTAATCTAGAAATTATTTACTTATTAAATTCTTTTTCAAATGATGTAAAGTGCCTATAGAATTTTATAGTTGTGTTCATAATAGCTTATCATAATACTGTAGAAGTAGGTTTGTTCTTCCATGGAATATACTATCAGCAGCATAATTTGTTTGTAAATTTCTAAAATAATTCCCCAAGTTTCTTTTGGATTGAATCTCATATGGATTTCTAGCAACCACTTCCCCCAAAAAAGTATGGTAGCAATCACAATGCTAATTAAAGTCAAAATAATTATTTAGTGTTATAAAACATTCTATAAAGATTTTAAAATAGTTTAAATTTTTTTTTAACCATTTCTGATCACCATTGTTCTTGAGTGCATTTGCCATTTTACAACCTGTCTTGTGATAGATACAAGCCAAATGATTATCTTAAATATTTGGGCTATAAATTCACTAATTTTAATAATTACCACTAGTAGAAAATTAGTATTAGACATTAGGCACCATTTCTTATCTAAATTAATAATTATAATTTAGAATTATTTGGAAGAAAAGAACTGGCCTGGGGCAGGGCTTGAACTTGCAAACTCTACTTGCCGTGTGATGCGCTTACCAGTTGCGTCACTAGTGTTAATATTAAAATTAGTGGATATATAGCCTGAGCATTTAAGGTGATCATTTGGCTATGTATCTATATATATATTGGGTTTCAGGTTGTTTAATATACTTATAAATCTCATGATATATTGCACAATGTAAACATGTACTGTACTGCAATATGTTTTGACTTGAACCACAATCTTTCTAGTAACTAACTAGTACCAAGTATTAGTGAACAAGCTGATTAACATTATTACTACTTACAGAGATTGAAACTTATGATTAATTAGAGTACAGTGGAACCTCTATATATATTTGTCAACCTCTATATTCGTAATATTCGATATTCATCACATGTTGATGACTTCTTTTATTTTTTCATATTCGTCAGTATTTTATGTATTCATCGTCATTCCCAACACTGGAAGTGGCACTACAGTTGCACGCCATCGCCAATCAGCTAGCCGTATTAGTTAGCTGTGTGTTGTCGTGTGTGTTGTTGAGTTATTGAAAAATAATCAATGCGAGAAACCAAGTTCCACTTGCTCCAAAGTGGCATCCAAATGTTGCTATAGTCAACCAAAATACAAATGAATTCAATGATAATGTAATTGCCTACTTTAGAAAAGTTTTAAAAAGCAGACAAAAAACACACAACACTGGACAAGTTCTTTATTAAATCAAGTGCTACTGAATCAGTAAAACAGACCCCATGATCATAATTGGAATTGCCTAATGTTTTAATTGATATGTCTTCTTCTAAACAATAATACTATATTAATATTGTTCTTTTCCTTCTACCACTATACTGTATTTATTTAGTACAATAAAGACAAAGATTTACAAACAACATAATTTTTATTTTTGTACCTTTTTTTCAGGATGGGAACGGATTAATTGAATATTAGTTATTTATTATGAGAAAAATTGTTTCTATATTCGTAATTGTTTCTATTCCATATTTGTTAGGTCCTTAGGAACAGATTAATAATGAATATTGAGGTTCCACTGTATTAAAATTTTTAAAAAAAGTTAAGCCACAGAATGTCTTTTTATTTACTGTAATCTGATTAAAATTTCCATCACAGAGCAAGATCTTAGTTTTTGGTTCTTGAATTGGACTTGTTTGCTATTGTGTGAACTCATAAGGATTGTATTCAGAGGTATTTTAATTCTTAGCACAAATTCTTGAGAATAACAAGAAACTTTTAGAATTGAATTACAATAGTTTTCAATGTTGTATTCATATATATATATTTTAGTTGGACTCACTTTGGATTAATTTGGATAGGCATATACATAAAAAGTTTTTTATGTATATGCCTATATAAAAGTGACTTTACTATAAAATGAACCTAACTGTATGACATATATCTGGTGAAGTTTAAAAATAAAAAGAAAAAAAATACAGAAATCTGCCAAAATGAAAAACATTCATTACATTGTGATTTTGGTTCACACAGGTTTTATTGTAATAACAAAAAATGATAAGAGGAAAAATAATTAATAAAATGCTAAAATACTAGATAAAAGTTTAAATAAAAAAATATAATATATATATAATACATTATACACACACACACACACAATTTATATAATGTGTGTATCTGTGTGTATGATAGTTATTAGCAACCTTTTTGTATAAGGATTTTTTTCTAGGTTTAAAATGTCAAATAATATTAACTCTCTCTCAATCTTTTCTAACAGTCCGAATAGAATCATGTAAATATTATTGTTTCTAATTAATGTGTTCTCATTTGAGCTATTTTGTTTTTGGTTTCGTTCAGAAAAAGCATTACTATCCTCTCTAACTATTTTTTCTTATTTCCTTACATATACTGGTACTTATAAAGTAAGAACTGTACAATAACTCTACCAGCATTTTGCATAGCATTATTTGCCATAATTTTTCTTTCTTCTTTGTATTGTGTTGCAAATGTTTGGAAAACTTTTTTTAAGTAAAAATGTTCACTTTACAGTTTCTCAAAGCAGATTTTTAGTGAAGTTTTGTTAATTTCATTATGACGCTTTTATTTTATTTTTACTTATTAGTATTTACAGCAAATTAAACACTACATACCATACATACAATCTTCCATCAAACAATGTGTATTTGAATTAAATACAAAACAATGTTTTCTGCCTCTTTTAGGTTGTTCTGTTTTATATTTAATTCAAATGCACATTATTTGCTGGAAGATTGTATGCATGGTATATAGCAGGGGTGGCCAACAAGTCGATCACTCACGATGTCTTGTCTTGATGTGTTACACTTGTAACGTAACGCAACACGCAAATGTGACTGTAGTGATACTCGACCTTTGCATCTTCCCTGAGATGCGGTTTTGTCGGTCCAAGTGCAATTCATTTGTGTACAGTTGTAAAAGGGAAATAAGAAATGTAGACAAAGGATTGTAAAACCAAAAAAAAAAAAGAAAGGCCGGAAAAGGAACAGGGAGAGTAGGTCGGGACATGGTAGAGAGAGGAAGGGAGAAGTAAGTGGTGGTCCCCAAAAGTAACAATGTTGAGTTTCAATTTTTCTTTTGTTTAAAATGTAAGTACCTTTTATTCATGTTTTAAATTAAATTGTGGCTTTTCTTATCTATCTAAACATAGTATGTATTTCACACCTCCCCCTCACCACTTAGACTATGCCTACAACAACAAATCCATCGTGACACATTTTTAAGACAAAAAGTAGATTTTATGTATACAAAAGTTGGCCACCCCTGATATATAG